GTATTTAGGAAAACAGGCTTGGCCCGGGACGAGTGTCCTCTCGTCGAATCCCGATTTCCTATTTTCCATTGAATTTCACCTCGCCGCGAAGCGTACCCTGATAAATGTTTCATACCGATTTCTCTCTTTCTCTCCCTCTCTCTCCGACCGCGCACAACAACATTATGAATATTATTACACAGGAATATGAAATTCGCGTGATTTCTATGCGTGTTTGTTTGAGAATAATGGAATGCGTCAACAACGACGAGTGATCTCGAATAAGCGCGCATCGTAATATTACATCAAATTCTAGCGTTAATGCGATATTGATGTTACTTACACAACGTAATAATTATATTGCGGAGGGGAGTATTACTCGAGTATGCGGCGAACGTATTTTACGATACCGACCGGTTAAGCAACATTTCCGCCTTTTGCGGAACTAACAGCGCTTGCCATCCGTGAATTAATCATGAGCTTGAAAATCATTCGTCGCGCACGGCTTATGCATCCGGTGCAGAGTGCCGACCGGGCGAATATTTACCGGGGTGCACGATCGGGCCGCACTGAATCGCGTACTGTTTGCGGCAAATTCCACGAGAAATTCCATTGTAATTGAACGAGGCTGACTCGATTATAAAGTCAAATGATCGGCAGGTGGAGAGACGGCAGGGAACTCTCTTTCTTTCAGCGAGCGAATGCGTTTCCTTTCCTCCGCCGCGCCCCGTCGTTGACTTTTGTACTTCACCCTCTTCTTCCCTCTTTTGCACTCGTCGCTCTCAAACGCCCTGCGCCGAGTCGAAGAGTACAGACAATGACGGCGTCTTGGGGACGTCCTTCTAGCTGCACCATCCCGCGGAACGTTTCAAAAGAGACTACTTTGAGAAATTTAGGAAGTCCCCGAGCTCGTGCAAATTACCGGTGCTGTTAAAGAGTGGGAAACTTGACAGTTTCGAAAAATGGAATTGCCTTTAAGGTCCTTAGAATAGTAAACGCTGTCGACTTTAATTTAACGCCAGATCCGTGATAATACATCGAGAGTTGACGCAATAACGGAGTACTTTATAATAGAACTCGACTTACTTCAATAATGAAAAAAATGATAGTTAAAACTTTTGTTGTCCACGCTCATTCTGAGATCAATCTGTTTCGCGAATGTTTCGTAATATTTTGTACGCAGGATATTACGTGGTAATTTCGAAGATAATACCATATTTAAGCAATTTAATCGAACATTTAATTAATATATATTTTTTAATATATATTTGTTATTAAACGAACATATACAGGGAAAAAATATATTAAAATTTGATAAATATTTATTAAAGCATATATTTGTAAGCATGTATTTATTTTTTTGATACAAGAATCATTTATTTTGTATTCAATTATCATTTTTTTATTAAGTAAGTATTCTTTAACTGTTAATTAAATGTGTTTAGTTAGAACTGTTGAAAAAATATTATTACGATTTGGTAAATTTTTTTTTCAGTGTAATAAATGATAAATAATATGCGATATAAAATAACTAGATCGACTGATTTGTAAAATAACTAAAATTGATTAGATGCGAAAACTGCAGTTTCACGAAATCGATTTCTTTTCCCGATCGATTCTCACGATGAAATGTCATACACGAAGACAAAGCGATATAGTAAGGCTGGAGACTCGTGCAGTTATATTACATGCCTATTCCTAGGGCGTCTCCTCTGGGAACGGCGCCACATCGAGGGGCGAAAGTTAGTGCCGCCTGGGGGATCGGTACGACCGATAATTGAGGCTTGAATTAAATTAGCCTTCGGTGTTCCATTCCAGAACGACTGAAAGTCTCGCGCGTTGCTCGCGCGATAACCGAATTGACCCACGTTCGGCCGATCTAATCGCGATTATCGATCACCGCTCTTACGCTGAGGTTTCATTAGGATCGATATCGCTCCGCAGTTAAATCGGTTAGGCAAGATGCATAATGGATTAAGCAAACGCACGTGAGTTTGATGGCGATCGAACTCTCTTCCCTTTGACTCGCGTCGTTCCTCGCAAACGCCGCTCTTACGGTTTCGCGATGATAATTCTTACGAAAGAGTAAAATGGATGTTCGTCCGCGAGCGCGATAGTTGGAATATGAGAGAGAGAGAGAGAGAGACAGAAAAAAAGCGACGTAAATTGCGGTATCATAATGAAGCGGAGACCCGCGCGCGGCGCATCGATTTGCGAAAAATAAACCGGAACAAGGAACTTTATCTCGTATTTCTTCGCGACTTGGAAAGTTCTGAATATCAAAGTTGTAATTTATCGTAAGTACTTAGATTCCCCGGCGGGGCCACCGTATCTATTATCGTCGCCAATTTTTCGTCTCGAGAAAACGCGTTATCAATATACACCATCGCAGAATGCGATATGACGCAACTGCCAAAAGACACCTAGCCCGTATATTTCTCGTTTGAATTGTTGCCATCCATTTACGTTAAATAAATCATATTACGTAATAACGTACGGAGTTGTAATGTACGGCGACACGGAAATGCATTCGCGTCGAGTAAATGGATTTACTTAAAAGTTTAATAATACAAGCAATAATTTACGTGCTTTAGGAGAAGTTAAAACGGAAATTCATTAAAACATTATGATGAAATCCTATGAGATGAATAAAACACTATGATTTCTCTTCTTGCTCGTAAGACTACATTTTAACTGGATATGTTAATGAAATACAATAAAAGAGCGTAGCCAATCTTGAAATAAGGTCCATATTGTATTTGTAATCTAATTGAAGAAAGAAAACAAGCTAAAGAAATTGGTTTGGCGAATTCAACCATATTCGTTTTCTAATTAATTTGTTTCCTGTCAGCTCTGAATCCATAACGAATTCCGTGAACGGAAAGAAAATTTCCGTCCGAGAGAGAAAGATTCAAACGGACGGTGCCAATCACCGCGCCATCGGGAACGATGTAGTCCCGATTAAAAATTTAAATCAGCCATTGGCGCTGATATTGTTAGCGAGCGAGAAAGTTTGCAATCCACCGGCGCCGCCGTTAACCCTAAGTGGAAACATGGAGCCGGGAAAAGTGGCGAAAGAGTTGGGAGAGAGCTCAGAAATGCGAGGAATTGAAACCAGAAGGAGGAGGGTTGATCAGTGAGATGTCCTGCGGGGAGATAAGTTTTCTCGGTGCAATCAGTACCTCGCTGTCTCCTTCACCTTTTTGCAGCCCTTCCTCTCAGTCGTCCTCTTGTATCGGCCACCTCGTTGGTGTACCATTGTTGTGGCATTCACTTATTTTCACATTTTCGAGACTTAAGATAATGTGGCTGCTCGCGGCATTCAATTTACTCGGCTGTGATGTTTTTGAAGGCGTTCTTATGCATTCACAGACAAAGACTTTGCGTCGATCGAGATTTAGAGGAAGGCCATTTGTGAAACCGACATAATTGTAACAAATTAGACTTTTTTTATTGCAGAAAAATTGTCTTACATGAATTACGATTGACAACTATTGAAAGATTATGAAGATTTCTTGTTTTTACTCATTTTCTATCTTAAGTAATTACAAATATTTCTGTGTCAGTTTAACAAAAGATTCGAACGAACTGATGAAAATTTCCAGTATTTGCCAGATATGGCAATATATAATACATTTAATGGATTAATGCGAGTTAATCTGAGGTTTAAGAACAAACCCAGATTTGATTGTGGTCACGATTTTGACAATGTAGTGGAATCCATTTATTTAATGCCGATCGTAAAGCGTTCCGCCGATTGTATGGTAGGATTAATTAATAAAGTGATTGATTCGGTTAAACGCATTAATCGTACTGTGCGCCGCAGATTCGCGCGCGACTGGACCGGCGAATTCCATAAATTTAGGAACTGCCGATCGATCGAATCGTGTCCGTTCATCAGTGTGTCACGTCTGACCGAGCGAATTTACCGCAAAACCGGACAGCAGTATCGAATGGATCACCGATTTTTAAAAAATGATGAATAGCAAGTCCCATCGGTGTTAGTGCGATTCGCATTGATAGGCTTATTGTTGTAATTACGAGCGCGGACAAAAGACCATTTTTACGAATAATGGCTTGAATGCGAAAGATATTCTTGAGTTTTGCGGTAATGAGATTCCGATCTTAATTCCTCGCCAGTAATGTTAGATTTTTAAGATATAATTAATTGAAAAAATTGAAATCTGTAAAAAATATAAGTATATATATATATATATATATATATATATATAT